AAACGCTGGGGGCGTTTTTTTTCCCCGTTTTCAACTTCTGGCGTTGCGGTCGACCAAAACAGAACAAAAACGGTAACGCAAAACGTGCCCAAAACTATGTGACCAGGACCAAAACGTAACAAAAACGGCGGGCGAAAACGCACACAAAAAGGATAACCAACACAGAAAAAAAACGGCACGGGCCTTGAGAGGTTCGTCTGCGCCAGGTGAAAACGGCAGGTGAAAACGATCAGAAAACGGCAGGTGAAAACGATTAAAAAAACGGATCGCACAACGAACCGAAAACGGCAAGGCGCAAATCCAATGCTTGTTCGACACATGCATTTGGACATGCTCATGGGAATCATCTCTTTAAGGGTCGTTTTACGTTACTCCGACCCCGATTCCCAGCCACGCCGTGGGGGAGTAGTAAGGTAGGGCCATGCGTTGACATGTTGACCGTGCTCGGGCCATATCTCTAGGGCAGAGCGGAATGCACAAACTAAGGGCAAGAGGGAAGGTCGAGAGTGGGACGGAGCGAATTCCATTCCCCAGCCACGCCGGGGGGGGTATGAAAAACGCGGGGTGGGGCGAATTCCCTCCCCCAGCCACGCCAGGATGGGACATCTGGGTAGGTTTGTCGAGCGTGGGCTGGTGCGAAATAGTGCCACAGAAACTGCAGCAGTTTCTGTCTGGCACCTGAGACGCCCATCACCTCACCCTGCGGTGAATGATTACATGTACAACTGCTGGATCAAGGAGAGAAGGTAGCCCCAGGGCCGTTGTCAGCATCATCTTTGGTCGTTGTAAGGCACCCGTGCATCCTTCTGAACCTGCGAGGGGTTCGGGCCCTTCCTTGCAAGGCCTCGATTCCTCCCGCTTCGCGGGGTGCACGTCCGGAGCACGTACAGTCACGTCGTCGCGGGACCTCTTGGGAGCCTTTTGGGTGCCTCCTGGAGGCCTCCTGGGAGTTTCTTTTGGCCTTTTGGGGGCTTCTTTGGGGGTTTTCCCCCCTCCCTCCTTTTCGCACACCCTCCCCATCTTCCCTTCCATCGCCGGCTCCAATCATGGGCGCCGCAGTGACCAACTTCCACCTGGCTGGCGCTGCGCCGCAGTTCGCCCAGAGGGGGGAAAATAACACTACACACCAGTCGCTGTGTGGCCTTTTGGGGGCTTGTTGGAGGCCTTGTGTAGGCTTCTGGGGAACTTTTTGGAGGCTTGTTGGGGGCCTCTTGGGGGCGTCTTGGGCCGTCTTGGGTTGCGCCGTTTCGCCCCCTTCGGAGGCTGTCTTGGGGGCCTCTCGCGGCCGCATTGGAGCCCTCTTGTGGTCCTCTTGGGCCGTCTTCGCTGCCTCTTGGACCGTCTTGGGGGCCTCTTTGGGTCGTTTTGGGGCCCTCTTTGGCCGTCTCGGGGCCCTCTTGGGTTTTTTCTGGGCTGTTTTGGGGCGATTCTGGAAGCTGTTTGGGCCGTCGTGGATTTTTGAAAGCAGAAAAAAACGAGAACGCTAAACTACTGCAAGAACCATCGGAAAATCAATGATTTCGGCCTCTGGAGGCGCAGTTATGGGCGCTCTTGGGCCCTGTTGGGCCGTCCTTGGAGCTTTTGGGGCCCTCTTGGGGCCGTTTTGGGGGCCTCATGGGCCCCCGTTGGGAATATCTTGGGCCGTCTTAAGGCCATCTTGAGGCCTTCTTGGAGCCCTAAGATGCCCTAGAGGCCTAATTTGCTGAATTTTCATATGTTTTTGCAGGTTTTTAGGGCCCCAGAAGAGGGGGATCACTTTGGTCCGGCGGTGTGGCGCAGGTCCCAGGGCGGGGTTAGGGGGGGAAACATAAGAATGTAACACAATACGGCATGTTGCAATTATGGAATATTTGGATACACTGGATGCGTTGCATTAAGGCGTTCGCCGAAAAAACGCTGCCGCTCAGCACGTCACATCCGGACGTGGATTTGGGGATTTGCGCCTCCGGGCTGTTCCCGGGAACGCCAGAAACGTCCCCTTTCCTCGATCGAAATAATGTTACAGCACCCTTAACCCCCTTAGTTGCAGCGATGAGCGTGGGCTGGGGCGAAGCTCATTCCCCAGCCACGCCGAGGCGGGTGAGATAGGGACAACCCCGTCGATTCATGGTAACGCAGCAGCGGTATGCCACGTTGAAGCGAAAACGATCCCCGAGTAGGACCCCACCCCCATACACGCAGAGGGGAGTAGTAAGGTAGGTGCAGTAGTGGCCATGCTGATCGTGCACACGCCATACCTGATACCAAGCGACAGTGCGATGCGGTTGTGATGTGATGCTATGCGACCCGCACTTCAGCCTTCCAGCCCTTTATGCCCTATGGCCTATGGCCTATAGGGCGGTTCTCCCAGAGGGCAGGCGCATGGGGCACGCAGTCCCAGCTATGGGCTATGGGACACACAGGCCTGACACATTAAATGGGACGCACTGCCCTTGTCATGGGACACGCAGTCCTGGCAAATGGGACGCGCAGCACCTGTCATGGGACACGCCGTCCTGGCAAATGGGACGCGCAGCTTCGATTATGGGACACACAGTCCTGGTAAATGGGACGCACAGTCTCGGTTGATGGGACACGCAGTCCCCGCGCATTGGAGGATGTCCCATGTAAATATGGAAGAGGCGGCTCGTGTCTTATATTGCGTTATCGGGTCTCCTCCCCCTACTGTTCCTCTTCCTCCTACTCCTCCACCTGCTTCTGGCCCCGTCCCCATAGCCACGTCGTGGAGGAGTAGCCAGGTGGGTTCATGCTTTGACATGTTGATAGTTCGCAGGCCGCAGTAGGCCGTAACAGTCCTGGTGTCTTTGCAGTAGCACGCGGGCCATATTTGGCCGCATCAGGTATGGGGGTGGGGGGCTTAGCAGCCGCCGTACAAAAGGGCCCGCGTGTACGCCATGGGTGGCCATCGGCCGCGCAGTGGAGGGTGGTGGCGCGAGTGTTGCAAAGCACAGGCGCGGTAGTAGGCGCATCTTAATAATTGTTGCATCCATGGGAGTACGGGGATTGGCACGGGGCAGCTACGTGTGCTTCACAGTCGTGGGGTGGCCCTCATCCGGGAAGAGGCCAGGCAGTTGCAAACCATCCTGCTTCACAGTCGTGGGGGGGACCTTACTCATGCATTCCAGGTTACATTCCACTCGAATTAGCCCTGCGAGTCGAACAGTTTGCACCGCGCAGGGTAACATGATTTAGGTTGCAGATAGTTGAGTGCTTTCTGATGTTTGGGTCGGAGTTGGAGTTGAGCATCGCATGCCACCACTGTTAGGGCACGAAATGGTTGAAGAAGGGTGGGTACCGCCACGGTTGTTCACGCGTGCTTCCATCGGATAGGGTGTCGCGCATCGAGTGAATGATCATCCATAGCGATCGTGCGCATAGCGCTCGTACAGCGTGGGTCCACCACTGCTGCGGTGCCTCTTGGTTGGTTAGAGCAGGCGGACGGTGTTGAAAGTGTTGGGGGATTACGTCATGAGGCTGCACTTAACAAAATGGGGTTTTCCCTGTTCGAAGGGGGGGGACTCTGTTAACATGTAACTTGGCCGAAAACGGCCCCCCAGCGTTGCTTTTGATCGAGGGGGGTGCATTTTGTCAATGTCTAGGTTGGCCGGAAACTGTCGCCCAGCATTGCGTTTGAGTAGGTTAGCTCTGGAACAGTCATCCCACGAAATGGGATATATCAGGCGCGGCCTCATTTAGGACTGAGAGTGTCGCGATGGGGGTGCGGGAGTTATTGTGGAGAGTGTTCCGTAGCTGCTCGGTTCCTTCCTCCCCCCTTTGCCCTTCCATGAATCCTCCTGTTATTCCACCTCCTCCTCCTTCTGGCCCCGTCCCCCAGCCGCGTCGTGGAGGAGTAGTCAGGTAGGTTCATGCTTCGACATGTTGATAGTTCGCAGACCATAGTAGGCCGTAACAGGCCTGGGGGTTGTGCAGGAGCACGCGGGCCATAGGTGGCCGCATCAGGCATGGGGGCGGGGGGCTTAGCGGCCACCGTACAAAAGGGCCCGCGTGTACGCCATGGGTGGCCATAGGCCACGCAGTGGAGGGTGGTGGCGCGAGTGTTGCACAACATAGGCGTGGTAGTAGGCGCACCATATTACACGTCGCATCCATGGGAGTACGGGGATTGGCACGGGGCAGCTAATTGTGCTTCACAGTCGTGGGGGAGCCCTCATCCTGGAAGAGGCCAGGCAGTTGTAAACCATCCTGTTTCACTGCCGTGGGTCATGCATTCCAGGTTACATCCCTACATCCCATTTGAATTCGCATTGCATATCAAGCAGTTTGTACCACGCAGGGTAGCATGATTTATGTTGCAGATACTTCGGTATTTTCTGATGATTGAGTTTGAATTGGAATTGGACATCGCATGCCACCATTTTTAGGGCACGAAGCGGTAAACTATTACCCGTGCCTTACACGACAGCCGCGACAATCCTCCTCCTCCTCCTCCTCCTCCTCCTCCTCCTCCTCCTCCTCCTCCTCCTCCTCCTCCCCCTTCTCCCCTCTCTTCCTCCTCCTTCTCCTCCTCCTCCTCCTGTTCCTCCTCCTTTCCCTCCTTTCTCCTCGTCCCTCCCCTCGTGTGTTTTCCTTCCTCGGAGTGGGAAGATCCCTTCGCGCATCCTGGGGCTAGATCTTTCGCCGATACCCCGAGACCGCAGCAAACGGCTGCGCATTCCAGCCAGCCTCAAGGCTTGGAGTTGCTCCATGCTCGGGTTGCCGAGAAAGAAGCGCTTGAGCCAACTGGTTGGTGATTGTACCCCTTTGGGCCAAGATGCCTCCAAGATAGCCCACAGACGGCCCAGAGGCCCCCAAGAGGGCTCCATGTCGGCCCAAGAGAACCCCAAGATCGCCCAAGAGCCTCCCAGGAGGGCCCCACGACGGCCCTAAAGCGCCCCAAGAGGGCACCACGACGGCTCAGAGGCGTCCGAGACTGCCTCCGAGGGCGTCACGGTGACCAGAGAACAAAAACAAGTCCCTCCCCTCCGCCTCTTCCCCCTCAGGAGTTCGACGCCTGGAACATGGAGCGCAACAGACCCGCGAGGGCGCCGGCGATCCGGATGACGGAGAAGCACCTCGACGGGGCGGGCCGGGCTTCGGCGAACCGCGATGTTTCAGCCTGCATGTGATGGGGTTCGTACGGGGCCACATGCGATCCCTACCCCTATTCCCCACGATTCCTGAGGGGGAGGGTGGAGTTCACTTCGCTCGGGAGCTCCCGAACGAAGTGAACCCCACCCTCCCCCTCATAAGTCGTGGTGGGTAGGGGTAGGGTTCTCATGTGGCCCCCTAGTTCGGCGCAAACGAGGCTCAGCCAGCGCGCTGGATGTTGCAAGCATGGGTTGGGGTTGAGCATGATATGGTTTGAGCGGGGTGAAGGCCTTCCCCGCAGCAGACATGCAGCACATGTTTCTCTAAATTGGTTGAGCCAGGTTTGCGTTGACCCGAGTAGGTCTACGCCCGATTGCTCTCTCTCTCTCTCGCTCTCTGTTTTTCTCTCTCTCTCTCTCTTTCTCCCCCTCCTCCCCCCACGGCACCTCAACCTTGTGCAATTCCAGGGAGGTTCAATTCTGTTTAGGCCATCGTATTTCTTTGTTTCAAATCTAGCCGGAGCTGGCCCAATGTGGCTCACTGATGTGGCCCAATCCTTCGCGCAACTTGGCACATGCCCGCGAAGAATTGCCTCCCGATCCACTGGGAGGATGAAGAACAGGGATGACAGGGAGAAGGGAGAGGAGGGCTTGGAGGTTCTAGGGAGTCGTCTGGGTCATAGCTCATAAATTTGCGAAGCGCCTCCATCATCGTTGTCGTCATCAGATTCGTTATCATGCAAGTAATACTTGCCAGCATCATCATTCCAATCGCACTCCCCTTTGCTTCATCCGCTCGGACGGGCGTGCCTTTGCAAGGAGAACGCCGCATCACCATCATAATCCTCGTTGTCATCCTCGCGCATCAAGCATCATATCCACCACTATCACCAACACCATCAGCATCATCACCAGTATCACCAGTATCACCATATCCATCATCATCATCATCATCAGTATCATCATCATCATCAGCATCATCAACATCATCATCATCATCGTCATCGTCGTATCATCATCATCATCATCCTCATCATCATCATCATCATCATCATCTTACTCGTCATCAGCAGCATCAACCTCATCATCACCATCATCATCATCATCATCATCACCATCCTCATTCTCATCAACAATACCATCATCAACATCGTCATTAGCATAATCTCACCACCAAACTCGTCGTCACCGTCATCGTCATCGTTACCGTCACCGTCGTCATCAGCATCAGTAGCATCATCAGCAGTATCATCATCATCATCATCATCATCATCTTCATCATCCTCATCAACATATTCATCATCGTCATCGTCATCATCATCACAATCGCCATCATCATCGCCATCACCATCACCATCACCATACTCATCATGATCAGCATCATCATCATCATCATCATCATCGTCATCATCCTTATCCTCAGTATCACATTGATGATCACCAACAGCATCATCATCAGTATCATCATCATCATCATCATCATTCAGCCATTTTGCGCACATTCATGTTGCGTGTTTTTGTTTTTGAGGGACACAGCCCGTTTCCATCAACCCTTTTTGTGCCACGTTCGTCGCCGAATGTTGCATCATACCAAAGGCCATGTGCTTTCCGACTTGGCGTGCTGATCTGCATTTTTCCCACGTTGATGCGTGGGTTTCTTTGGTGCTTCTCCCCTGGTCGCGGCCGCAAGATCACGCCAGCATGACTGCAGCTACGAGCTGTGCCCGGGCGAAGCAGATGCACCCGTGTGCAGTTTCTCTTTCGTGCCCGTGATGAGGTTCGCCCCCTCATGTCGCTGAGGTTAAAGGAGGCCGCGCCGCGCGATCTAATGGTAAGCGTACGCGATGCCAGCGTGCACACTGGCAGTGCAGAACCTCATCTGATCGTTTGACGTCGTTGCCTCCTGCATGCGACCGCCTTGCCATTGCTGTCCAGATTGCCCTTTGGACCTGCCGACGCCGCTGGTACTGAGTCAGCGTTGTCGTGTGCAGGCTGGTGGTTAACAAGCTCACGCAAGTGGTCCTGCACGCCATGCTGTAGTTTCCCCTTGACCCGCTCTGCTGCCTTGATGCCACTGCGGGAGATTTGGGCAGTGCCCCCCCTGTCACAGGACAAGGCAGGAACAACGTCAGAAACACGAGCAGGTGTCTCGCGTGCGCTTGGTCCTCCACGTGCATCGGGGAAGAGGGCAGCCTGTCCTTGGCTGGCATGCCTTGTCTTTGGTGTCGCCTAGTTCGACGTTTTGCAACTGGTGGTTCGCAGTGCGCAGCACAGTGATATTGGTGGTGTCCCTCGCCAAGTACGTGATGAAGCTGCTGATGGTATTATCGCTCCTGCTTACGCCGTGGCCCCGATGGTTGCCCATGGTATTAAACGGCATGCTTGCTAAGCTGACCAGTGTTTAGGCCTATCGTGTTCAGTGTCTTGGACTCTCGGGTCCTTTTCCTGGTTGCCGTTGTTCGTGCGGCCCTTGTTCGTTCGGTCCTTCTCTCGGTCAAGGACCTTTCCTCTCCCGTTCTGTCTTCTGGAACTTGTAGCTTTCGAGAGGCCAGTCCATAATCTCCCCATCAGTGCTTGCACTCAGGGCTTCCTTACTTTCTGCCGTTCAATTCATTGGACAGGTCCGAGGATTTTTCACGTTGCCGGCCGTTGCCGCCTCGTGAGCGCTCGTGGGTTGCGCCGCGCTGCCGACACCACCGCCAAGATCCCCGATGGAAATGAAAAGTGCAGAGCCTCTGTTGACTGCCGTCGACCGTGTCTTCCAGCTCGCGCGCCCCGCTTCGATGACTGCCAGCTTTGCGCGCGCGGGAGCAACGCGGGCCTTCTTTCTTTTTTCAATGAACTTTAGGATTTCCGTGGGTCGCGCGAGGCCCGTGGGCCGTGCGAACCTCGCCAGCCCCATGAACCCCATACCTCCCAGAAATGTTTCCATGTCAACATGGGCGCCGCAATGCGCATACCCCATTGCGCCGCGCGAGCCCTGCGAGCCGCGCGGGCCCCACGGGCCCCCTCAGTCGTCAGGGCCGCGTCAAGCTCCTGAGTCTTGCGAGCCCCGCGGACCATGGCAGCCCCAGGGGCCGTAGGGGCGCCATGAGCCCCATGGGACGTTTTTTTGTTTCACCATGCGAGCCCCATGGCTTGTGAACTCGGCGAAAACGTACAGCCACCGCAGGTTTCCCGGGCTCCGCCGGGCCGCCCTGCTCCTGCAGGACAGCGGCCCTCAATTTGTGTCCAGTGGTGCCTGGGCCTCGCTTGCACTGTCCGTGTCCTATCGTTCCTCCCGCGCGCTGCGCAACGTCTCCCTTCCCCCCCCCCTCCCTGGCTCCCCCCCCTCCTGCGATTCCGAAGGCCAGGACGGGCCCACCGTGGCCCAAAACGCCATCCCTTAGGTTTATGGGACAAATGCTTTCGCGGTGCTGTTGTCGGCTTCCTGTCCTGCGATCCACCTCGCCGGCACTCGTAGGCGCCCTCTGCGTTGGGTGTGTCCGCCGAGGTTGCGCCGCGTTGCCGCCCGTGCCCCAGCGCGGGCGCTCGTGGGCGTCTTCCCCTGCATTGAGCTCACAACACATTGCTTACACATCATACGTTCGGCACGTAGCTTACACCGCGTGTATTACAGACCGTACGCATATATTACACCACGTAGCGTGCACCGCATGGTTTCCGCCCCCAGCTCGAACCATACTGATTTACACATGTGTATAGTTATGCACACATATATGCGTTGGCGTTGCGCTGCGAAGTTTACACAGTGTAAATCATATTGTTTAGCGTTAACTCCCATAGATCACACAACGCAGCGTACATGCCATAGCGTAGCAGCATAGCTCAAACCGAGTATTTTCCACCTCCACAATGCAATACCTCATGTGTTGGGGTGCTTGCTAGCCACCATTCGCAATTCATCCTGAATCATCCTTTTCTCGCGCCGCCTCCCATCAAACATATATGTTCCGTCTTTCCGCCTTCATATTCTTGTTACCTACAATTGCACATAATGATTATTACCGTCCTCTCTCCCCTCATAGGCAACGATGGGGGTTTGGAATACGAGTATGTCAAACAGTTCATATAAGTGCCCGATTTGAACACTGTAGGTTTCAACAGTTGGCTTGTCGCATTTGCTTGTTCAATCGGACTGCGTTGGGCCCCAGAAAATTATGGGTGTTACCGTTGCAGCGTTGCCCGCATTTCAGCATCGGCGCTTTCAGATGGCGAACTCTTCACGGCCGGTGCCGCCGACCCTGACGGCGGGGCTTCTCCCTGAACCCCTGCCGCTGGCGGCCCCTCCTGGGACCCGCCGGAACTCCCGGGGGCGGTATTTTGACTCTGGACCCCCCCCCACCCCCTCACCCCACTTCCCCCCCCTTCCCCTCCATTTCCCTTGGCAGGGATAGAGGGAAAGGGCTACCCTTCAACTTAACGACGACGTTCCTTTTCTTTGTACCTCCATTTCCTCAGGACATTTGATGACGACGACGACAACGACGGCGACGACGACGTCGACGACGCCAGCGTCTTCTGCACGAGGTCTGCGAATTTGCGCTTTCGCACCAGCGCGGGCCACATTTCTGAATCCGATTCGTGCCTCGTGTTTGGTTTTCCCCCCTCCCCTGCTCCTCCTGCACCTGCTGTTCTTGCTGCTTCTCCTGCTCCTTTGTCATTCTCCTGCTCTTCCTCCTGCCTATCCGCCACTTCCTCCTCCGCCACCTCCCCGTCCTCGTCCCCGTCCCCAACACGAAGCCCCCCATCACGCGATGGGGCCATGTTAATAATCAAGGACATCCAGGACACCTCCCCCAGCGTATGTAAACACATTCAGCACAATGGGAAGGGACAGTGAAAGAGGAAGGATGTCAGACTCACCTATGTAGCTTGCCGTCCTCCCCTCTCATCATTGGGCCGCTTGCCTACGGATCGGAGGCCTGCATTGCGAACATTGTCGCGCACGTTTCCAAGGCCTTTGCGGCAGCCAGTTGATTTACGCGGCTCTA